TCTTATATATATATATATATATATATATATATATATATATATATATATATATATATATATATATACGTATATATAAAATTTTGCCCACCAAATTAAGTAATTTGGTGCAATCAACCTGCATTAAAAAAACATGAAATATTCCAGCAGACCCCTCATAATATCTGTGTCATATCTGTGTCAAAGTCTTAAAATAGATAATTTGACCTTTTTATGACAAAGTTTGTTCAGGTTCTAAAATGTCATGTGGTACAACTCCCAATAAACCAATAATAATAATAAATATTTCTAAATAATATTAAATAAAATATCTGTAAGAACTTCTTTTTTTTTTAAATAATTATAATCAGATGTGCACAAATTTATTCAGTGTGTAACAAAAATTGTATTTATGTTTATCAGTCTGTTTACTTATATTGTAACCTATTCTACTGTAATTGACTGTAATTTTTGCTTTTTTTTTTTTTACTGAGGATCGAACCAAGTTAGCATTATACTCTGTGGTAATCAACATTGCTCCACAAATTTTATCGATGGAGCTGAACTTGTATTGAACCCAGAACATTCCTTTAAAGTTCATAAGGGCGCCAAAACAATAAATGTAAATACACTTTGTTTTGTGTATTTACTGCAGCACAAAGCAGTTTATAGGAGTTCTGATCTCTAATAACATCCTCACGAGTCCCTTCCTTTGTCTCGACCAAGAGGGGATATCAGTGTTTGGATAACCAGTTCCTCAGATGAGGCTGCTCAGAGTTGCAAAGAAAGAGAAAAAGATAAAAACGGGCGCGAGGCACAGAGGAAAAGATGAGGTCCAGCCTAATTCACGCATGATTTCTCCCAGGGTCAATTATTTCCATTTTCTCCTGTGGTGTGCTCAGTGTGTGCGCAAATGTGATCACATTCCTCGATTCACCAGGCCTCCTGAAAGAATAGAGGACTCCTTTGGTGTGCGCAACCTGTTTTGTCTGTTTTCAACATCTGTTTTTTGACATTTTGTCTGTTTTACACATTTCAGACAAAAGAGAAATAGTAAAAGTTATTTCTAGATCCAAAACCTAAACATTTCAACAGGTGCACATGCAAAGCAGCCAGATATTCCTCAGCAGTCGTCTGGGAATAAATGGGTTTCAGCTCCTGCTGCAGGATGGATATATTTTCCAGAGTCATTTCTGGTGTAAATTCATCATAAATTCATCAAGTGTAAAATCATTCCAAAGTCTTAGGTGCTCTCATAGGAAAGAAAAGTAAAAAAAAATGTAATAAATAGTAGGAACTCTTATGTCTCAATTGTTCTTTTAGACAGCAGTGAGCTTAAATGGAGATCAAGTGAAGATTAACTTCTCACAATCTATTGTTTCTCAGATTTTTCTTCCAGAAAAAATACCTCACTAATACTCCAGTGAGTTTCATAAGAGATCTAACAATGTCTCGAACTTGCCAAGATACCAATCAAAAGTCCAGTTTCAATAAACTAAAAAATATTCTCATCAAATTCTTACAAGGCTGAATAATATGAACTATGCTATTGAGTGCCAGTGGCATGATTAGAAATGTCACTCTTTCTCTGTTGTGTCTGTGTGCAGAACAGTAAGGTGCGTCGTTTCGCATTTGAGCTGAAGATGCAGGATAAAAGCACTTATCTTCTGGCTGCAGACGGCGAAGGAGAGATGGATGACTGGATTAACACCCTCAACAAGATCCTCCACAGCAGCTTTGAGCTCGCCATGCAGGAGAGGAGGAATGGAGAACTGCACGATGGTGTGTGTTTGGGCCAGTAAGAGTGTGTGCAGTTCACAGATGTGTATTGATGTCATGTATGTTCGCTGACATGCTTTGATACATTACTATATGATAATAAAAGATTGTTGACACAGTTTGAGTACGCAGACATGTAATTACAGAGTCAGCTGGTGTAGTCGTGTCTCATACATGTGTATGTGTTCTTTGAAGAGACCACCCACACTTTTAATGTCTTTTAATAGATAGATCCATATAGCCAACACTCCAGAACTGATGCACACATAGCCATACACAAACAGTAACACTTAACACCTCTTAAACCCTTCGAATTTCACACAGGAGAGGAGGTTGGGAGTCTTTATTTACATTTGATGAGTTTCAAAGGAGACAGCACATTCCTTTCTTCTTGCCTCGTATAAAACAATAAACACCTGTCGGCCAATCAGAGTGCAGAACCAAATATAGCTAATCACTAGTGGAGCTTGCTAACGCGAGCATGGCTGTTGCTATTAGTCATACTTAGGGTTTGGGATCTGAACAAACTTCTGACCCTAAGAATTAAACTTTGGCGCCTAACTCGTCTCACAATGTTTGTTCTACGGACATGAAAGATACCTCAAATCATGCTGAGGAGATGTGTGCTGTTACAATAGACAGCTTAATACAATAAAATGAACAAAGAATCCTTTCGATTTGCCTTTAGGGAGGACCCCAAATCATATCTAGGGGCTGGAATATCTTGGGAAAGAAAGCAACAACCCAGAACACCCTAAAAACTACATATTGAACATATTAACATGTTTAAAACCACTCAGAGCACCTAAGAAGCTACATAGCAATTCCCTAGTGATCACCCACAACACCCTAGCAACTTTCCACACCGTAGAAACCACTAGCATCGTCCTAGCAATCAATCACAATACCCTGGCAATCCCTAGGACCTAAACACAAACTCTAGGAACCCCCTAGCAGCCACTAACAACATCCTAGAAACAAGATTTTAACATTTTTAAAACCACATTCTGTAGCAACACCCTGGCAACCATCCATAATACCCTAGCAACCCCTAGGAACCACCCATAACACTTTAGGGACCCCCTAAAGCCACCCACAGCACCCTAGAAACCCATACCAGATATATTCATGTTTAAAGCCACTCTGAATACTTTAGAAACTGCATAGTTTGCATCCAAACACTCTAGGAACTCACTTGCAACCACCCATAAAAGCACATATGTCATATAAATATATTTAAAAAAACATTGGAATACCTAAGAAACTTCAAAGTAACACCCTAGTAACCACCCAAAACACTCTAGTTACCACATATACAGATATCAATGTTTAAAACCGCTCAAAACACCTTAGAAACTATATTGCTGTAAACTCTAGGAAACTCCTACATCACTCACTTTTTAATCACAAAAATGTAGTTTGGCAGCTTTAATATTTGAGCAGCCACATTTTTGTGGTTGTTATGATTTGACACTGTTATCTGACAGTTTTCCTAGTCACTACATGTTGATTTATATACATTAAGACTAATGACTGTTTGCTGGTTTTGAGAGTTTCAGTACAGCAAGTGTGTTTTCTCTCACACAGATGATGAGCTGGGCAAGACAGACATCTCACCGGGGAATTTTCAGGACAGTTTCCAGGTATTGTGAACAAATAGACACACATATAGACACATGATCTCCTGATTAGCTGATTATACAAACACTCATCTACAGTTTCACAGGGTGTGTGTGTGTGTGTGTGTGTGTGTGTGTGCGCGTGTGTGTGTGTGTGTGTGTGTGTGTGTGAAGGTGAATACTGGTTTTCGCCTTCTGTGTCTTGACTGTAGCATGATCTCAATGCTGGCGTCCTCGCTGTCTGCCTTTTCTCTACACATCCACAGTTTTTCCACACACCCCTAATCCTCTCGTCTGATGTTTTCCAACCATTCCACAATGAACCACCCATACTTTGGAACATAGACACACACACACATCTCATCTCTATCTCGCTCTTTATTCTCCTTTCTGCCGTCTCTCTCCTCCCTGGAATCAATCGTCTAGGCGCCTCTTCTCTCTAAAGTCAGAATATTTTCTCACACATCCTTTGATATCTCACTTTAATGATCTTAAATACTTTATAGCGTTTCTTTTGTTTTGTTTTGCAGTAAAATATCTAAACATTCATAAAATGTGATGCGTTTACTTCAGAAGTAACACCGTGTAAAAAGAGACAATTTATAATTGTGTAATTGCAAATGAAGTTACAAATGCACAAAGAGTATTTCTTGTCTTCCTTCTGTTTAATAATTGCTCATTTAAAAATTAATTTTTTTTTTCTTAGTTTAATCTTAAATCAAACTAATTTTAAGTTTAAAAACAGACTGTCAATAGGGTAGGAAATTTATTTTTCAGATATATTCTCTGAAAAAAAATAGTTCTGTTATCTTGTTATTTTATCTCTCATGTACATTAATCTTGTTTTAAGTATTTTTACGTATTCCACTGGAAGCCAAGACAAAATAATAATTAAGAAAATGATTTTTGTAATGCAATATGCTGGAGTAGGAAACACAATCAGCTGTGGTAATTAGCAATTGGCTCCCTGTTTTTGCTTTTCAGAGTGCAAGAGACATTGAGTCCAAGATGAGGAGTGAAACTCGTCTGAAACTCTTCACTCTGGACTCTGACACACAGGTGAGCCACAGCTCTAATAATAAATAATCCCTTAAATCACACGGTGAGCTGCTGGTTTTACGCTATGTGTGTATGTTTTGGCCTGTAGAAACTCGATTTGTCTGGCATTGAACCTGACGTGAAGCAGTTTGAGGAGAAGTTTGGGAAGAGAGTTTTGGTGAGCTGCAATGATCTGTCCTTCAACCTTCAGAGCTGTGTAGCAGAGAATGAGGAGGGTCCTACTACTAACGTAAGCTTCACACACACAATCACAATGGTTCTGTGGTTAGAAAGCTCTTTTCTTTTGCTGGGTATTACTGTATCTGATGAAGGATATGTTGTGGCAACCAGCCAAACTCCATGGGAAAATTAGAATTTTGTGTATATCGATAGTCAGCCCTGAATATGATTACATAAAGGTAAATGTGTAATTATTTCAATGTTAAAAGACTTTCTCCTATTCCAGTTTAATGTGCACACACACTTACAAGACTTCTCAATAAGCTACAAGTTCAAATACTGTGCCTCTCTGGTGCTTGCAAACATTCCTCTGTTTGTTGAAGCGGTCCAACGTGTCAACATGTAGCTCAACCCACACTTCTGGTACAGATTAGGTGCAGCTTTACGGTTTTCTTCAGGTGGAGCCCTTCTTCGTGGTGCTTTCACTGTTTGACGTGCAGAACAGCCGAAAAATATCTGCAGATTTTCATGTGGATCTAAACCACCCACTGGTCCGATCCATGATCCCACCTCCCAGCATGCAGATAAATGGAGGGATGGACACACCTCACCAAGAAACGCTGCTTAGTGAACTGCCAGAGGGGATGCTGCAGTACCCCAAAAAAGTAAGAGGACCGAACAATCCATTTTCAGAGGCAGTTGGATGGATGGATATATAGATATACAGTATACTGTAGATGGATGGATGGATAGATACTGTAGATGGATGGATTGGATGGATGGATGGATGGACGGACGGATACTATAGATGGACGGATGGACAGAGGGATACTATAGATGGATGGATGGATGGACAGACGGATACTATAAATGGATGGATGATGGATACTGTAGATACATGGGTGGATAGATGGATGGATGGATGGATGGATGGACTGACGGATACTGTAGATGGATGGATTGGATGGATGGATGGTGGATACTGTAGATACATGGGTGGATAGATGGATGGATGGATGGACAGATGGATACTATAGATGGATGGATGGATGGACGAACGAACGGACATATACTATAGATGGATGGATGGATGATGGATACTATAGATACATGGGTGGATAGATGGATGGATGGATGGACTGACGGATACTGTAGATGGATGGATGGATGGTGGATACTGTAGATACATGGGTGGATAGATGGATGGATGGACATACGGATACTATAGATGGATGGATGGATGGACGAACGGACGGATACTATAGATGGATGGATGATGGATACTGTAGATACATGGGTGGATAGATGGATGGATGAATGGATGGACTGACGGATACTGTAGATGGATGTATTGATTGATTGATTGGATGGATGGATGGATGGATGATGGATACTCTAGATACATGGGTGGATAGATGGATTGATTGATTGGATGGATGATGGATACTGTAAATACATGGGTGGATAGATGGATTGATTGATTGATTCATTGGATGGATAGATGGATGGATGGATGATGGATATTGTAGATACATGGGTGGATAGATGGATGGACGGACAGATACTGTAGATGGATGGACAGATGGAGGGATACTGTAGACGGATGGATTGGATGGATAGATAGATGGATGGATGGATGGACAGATACTGTAGATGGATGGATGGATACTGTAGATACATGGGTGGATGGACAGACGGACGGATTCTGTAGATGGATGGCTGGATGGATGGATGGATAGATAGATAGATAGATAGACTTCATTAAAAGTAAGAGAGTAAGTGGAGTGTGTTTATACTTTGGGGACAATTTGTCCTAGAAGTTATCTATATCTAACCTCCCATCGGGGACGTCCTCTTTTGGAAAAAGGATGCATAACTGAAATACACAATCTTTTCAGTAAGAGAAGGCTCTGTGCTCGTTTGTGTTTCAGGGTGTCTTCTCTGTGACGTGTCCTCACCCTGACATCTTCCTGGTTGCTCGAATCGAGAAAGTTCTGCAGGGAGGGATTACTCACTGCGCTGAGCCCTACATGAAGAGCTCTGACTCCAGCAAGGCAATGAGCCTAACACAACTACACACATACATAAACAAAACCGCTGACCCAAACATACACACACTCATATACCAAACAAAACACAAGAACCAAATACACACTGTCAATCAAAACAATAAGTGGTTATTGCAAGGATAAGGAAAAGGATTATCAGGGCTTAGGCCATAAACTTTCAAACAATTCTACCACATCCCACAATGACCCCTTCAATATCCTGCCTAAAACTACACAACGATACCATCCAAAACCCCCGCATAACTGCTAGGAACGTGCTGTCTGCCCAGTTCACTGTTAATAAAATGTCTCTGGAGAGGTTGTGGGGAACAATGTGTGTGTTTTGCTTCACAGGTTGCTCAGAAGGTTTTGAAGAATGCCAAGATGGCCTGCAGCAGACTGGGCCAGTACAGGATGCCTTTCGCATGGGCAGCTCGGTGAGCCAAAACAGCCTGGAAGGTTCTGTTCTTCTCTCTGTGTGTAGTGTCAAACACAATATTTAATCTTTTTGTTCTTTTCCATAGGCCTGTGTTTAAAGATGCCTCAGGGACTTTGGATAAAAGCGCTCGGTTCTCCGCGCTGTATCGGCAAGACAGTAATAAACTCTCAGAAGAAGATCTTTTCAAACTGCTGGCGGATTTTAGGAAGTCAGTATTCACTTCATGTCATCAGACTTGTCTTCACTAGAGATTCCTGTCCCTTTTACAGTACAGTAGATTCAGTATATTAAAACAATGGATTTTAAATGGAAATATTTTCTGAACATCATATTCTTCTGCAGTGTTTTTGCAGCTGTGGACGGTCCCACTGTTAGGAATGTGTTTTGTAGTACCTCTCAGAGGGGCACTTTTTCAGGCCTCCTACAAATATATGAGCTTCAAATATAAATGTACTGTACACTACATGTCAAAAGTTTGGAATAATTAGGATGTTTAAATGTTTTTGAAAGAGATCTGTGAAAGAGGTCTCTCAAAAATACATTAAAATAGTAATATTGTGAAATTTTATTACAGTATAAAAGAACTGTTTTCTATTTGAATATGTTTTAAAATGTAATTTATTCCTCGGATGGATAAGCTGAATTTTTAGCAGCCATTACTCCAGTCTTCAGTGTCCTTCAGAATGCTCCTTCAGAAATCAATCTAATATGCTGATTTGGTTCTCAGTTATTATCAATTAGTATTGGTTCTCAATTATTAATAATGGTTCTTATTATTATCAATGTTGAACATATTTTTTGCTGCATAATATTTATTTGTGATATTTGTTTTGATTAATGCAAAGTTCAAAAGAACTGCATTTATTTCAAATAAATCTTTTGTATCATTATAAATGTCTTTACTGTCACTTTTTATCACTTTTTTAATGTATCCTTGCCTCAAAAAGGGTTTTCAACATTGATGATAATAATAAGCATCATATCAGCATATTACAAATATGTCTAAAGGATCATGTGAAACTGGAGTAATGGCTGCTGAAAATTCAGCTTCGCCATCACAGGAACATATTACATTTTAAAATATATTAAAATAGAAAACGGTTATTTTACATCGTAACAATTTTTCACAATATTAATGCAGCCTTGGTGAGCTTAAGAGACAACACAAAAATAAATAAATAAATAAATTAAATATTTGACCACTAGTGAATATGTCTAAACGGTGTACACAGACCTGAGAAGATGGCTAAACTACCCGTCATCTTGGGTAACCTGGATGTGACCATTGATAATGTCCCTCCTGATGTGGCTAGTAAGTCTTCAAACTATTTGTTAATGTAACCCTAACATAATGTATGTCTTTTCTGAGATTTCCTGAAACTCTGTGTCTTCCTTGTGTGCAATGAATTGGTCACTTGAACTTAGATTTTCTCCTCACCATTGGCTAGATTGTGTCACTCCATCCTACATCCCAGTGAGACCTTTTGAGAGTAATGGGCCGAGCACCGGTGTTCTGTTGGAGGTGGAGGAGTTTGTTCCCTGTATTGCCAAGTGCTCTCAGCCTTTCACCACCTACAACAATCATCTCTATGTCTATCCCAAACACCTCAAATATGACAACCAGAAGTCTTTTGCCAAGGTACACTAGCATTATCAGCTGAAAGCTTCTTGCTTTTTCCATTTTCTTGCAAAATTATTGCCCTCAGCCAAATGTATTGACATATGAGATATGGTCAGTGTAATGAAGGCTCACACCCGCCACTCATAAAACATGCACTTAGGGATTCGATAGTAAGTCGTTTTTTGGCTCATGTTCTGTCTTTGTCTTATGTGACTCAGGCAAGGAACATCGCAGTATGTGTGGAATTCAGAGAGTCAGATGAAGAGGATGCCCAACCTTTGAAGGTACAAGGCTGCCCCAAGCCCTTTCTTATGACTGATATATAATAAATACTCAAGGTCTTTTCCAGACTCTGTTCCGCTCTCTCCTTTCTCACTGTTTTCTGTCCTTTCTTGCATTGCCCTGTTGAAATAAAATTAAAAAGGAACTTAAATTTAACTTTAAAAAAATCACTGTGTTTGTGTGTCCCTGTTATGTATAGTGTATCTATGGTTGTCCAGGAGGTCCTCTCTTCACCAAACATGCCAATGCAGCAGTACTGCACCACCAGCAGAACCCAGAGTTTTATGATGAGGTGATGAATGGGACGCCAATATATATTTTATAGGGGGCCAAGCAGGAAGTAATATGCTGTATACAGTGGGGTTCAAATGTTTGAGACCATATTGAAAAACAGGAGTTCAAAATTTAAAACTGAAAAAAGTTTTAAAATGTAGAAAAATTGTAAACAAAAATGTTATGGTGTTATCATAAGGTTTTGCACAAACTTGCACAAATAACTTGAGTACTGCTGTCAGTAGAACCAAAGGGGGGCAAACGAAATACTAAGAAATTCAAAAATTTAAGTTACATTTTTATTTCAACTTTTCACTCAAATTCTTGTATGTTCATATAATAATAATAACAAAATTTTAATGGGAATTTTTTATACATACACAGAATTTAATAATTTTCACAAGTAGTCTCAGATATTCCAAATTCCAGATATGCTGTGTGTGTATAGTTAGTTGAGTATCCCTGTATATATAATGTAATGATAATAGTGGGTTGAGGTATACAAATATGAGAAAGTTGATCACTGTATATTTAAATGTACATAATCAGTGTTTACATTTGTATCTTTTAATTATTCAGGATGATGTCCTTCTTCACCTCATATTTGTTGTGTAGATATTGAAAATATTAATCATGTTTATATGTCATAATCAAAGTGATCTTATATATTTTAGGTTTTAGTTTTTTTTTCTTTAAATCATATTGTGTGTGTGTGTGTGTTTGTGTACTGCAGATAAAAATTGAGTTGCCCACACAACTTCATGAAAAGCATCACCTGCTCTTCACTTTTTACCACATCAGCTGTGACAGCAGCACAAAGAAGCGGGACATAGTGGAGACCCCAGGTACAGCATGTTGGGTAATTCGGTCACTGATAGTGCTAATATTTTGAGGCATGGGGTAGAGCTCCAGGAACTTGTTTCTTCTTTTTTTTTATGCATAACATTTCTGCAGCATTTTCAGAGAGGCATACCAATCAACCAGTCACATTAAGTGTAGTCTTTGGATGTGCTGAATGTTTTCTCTAACACATACTGTACTCTCAATGTCTGTCTGTTTCTCTGTCAGTGGGCTCTGCCTGGCTTCCTCTGCTTAAAGATGGTCGTGTTGTTATGAGTGAGCAGCACATCTCTGTGGCGTCCAACCTACCAAATGGTTACCTCAGCTGCCAGGAGGGTGTAAGCAAGGTAAACCCACTGTGCACAGTCATAACAAAAACTTGTCCTTCTTGGCAAAAATGTTGGTCATTTGCTGACCAAATGTAAACCTGTACCTGTTCTTGTACCTGTTCTTTGTATAGCAATTGAGTCTTTGCGTGTGTGGTCTAATTTGCTATTTGGATAAACTTTGTGAATATCTACATCTAATTATTTATTGATCTTTTGTCTGAGTGTATCGTATTGCATACTATCAGTTTTACACTGGAAGAGGTTGCTATTTAATAGCACTGGAGACTCTTTGGGGCTCACAGTTATGTTACATTGATGAATCAACTTTGTCATAGATATTTTTCCTAAAATTCCATAAATGACTAGTTCTAGTTCAGTCATGATAGATAGTGCAGGCTGATGGGTCCTTTATATGCAATCTGATAGCAGCCGCATTATTTATCACTTCGCACAAGCTGATTGGCCTCTTCTGATTCTGCAGGCAATTAGACTGTGTGCTCAACATTTCAAATTGTCTGGTTCAGTGTTCATTGTAAGCTGGTCCTGCAGCACACTATAAAGTTCCTCTAAAACCTTCCACCTCCCCCAGCTCCACCTGTCTAGATCTGCTACAGGATTTATGTATGCCTATTCATGAAGTAGCAACATCCAGTATCTGACATGCTCACAGCAGTGAGTCTGTCTATTGGCAGTAGCAATCCATACTTGCTCTACAACTGCACCAGAATGCATACCAGATCAAGTCCAAGTCGCTATAACCAAATGCATTACCATTGTCATATCCATAACATGCTGAAACTATTTAGAGAGTTGTCATTATTGAAATAAAACTAGGCACAAATTAGTATTAGTATTAGGAGGATAGAGAGCTATGCAACTTCTGTGGATAAAGCAGCTCAGATCATTTGGTCTTTTTAATTTAATGAGAAACTTTTTTGAGTTCATATTGAAATCTTTGACTTTGTTGGGATCCCTTTTGAAACACATTAAGACATACACAAATACAAAAGATTAGTTGGCTATTTTCTCATAAAAATTAAATTAGGAAATATGAGAAGGCATGGCTTTATAACAAGCATGGGACAAATTCAGCAAAAGTCTCCATTTTCCCTTCATTTAATCTCATTGCTGTATATGAGAAATACATTAAATAGATCTTTCAGTGGATGATCTGTCAGTATAATCAAAATAAACTGTTTAAACATGATATTGTTTTATGGGTGTTGTGTTTGCAGCACTCTAGTCCTGAGATAAAGTGGGTGGATGGAGGACGTCTTCTTTTCAAAGTGTCTACACATCTGGTCTCTACCATCTACACGCAGGTATGAACACACACACACACACACTCACACAGACACACACATACATATACTGTATATATATATATATATATATATATATATATATATATATATATATATATACTGTATATATAGGTTCCATATTTATCTAATTTAAGCATGTCTTTTCACCTCCTCAGGATCAGCACCTGCACAATTTTTTTCATCATTTCCAGAGTATGCAGTCTGGTGCCACCCATCCAACTGAGGGTGAGCTTGTCAAATACCTCAAGGTGAGCATGGAGAAGTTAGAGAAGCAGGATTCTTCTGCGTTAATTATTCTTATTATGGTGGGTTAAATGACAAAACATTACCCATACATTCCCAGAGTCTTCATGCCATGGAAGGTCATGTTATGATCAACTTCCTGCCGACTATTTTAAACCAGCTGGTTCATGTTCTGACCAGCACCAGTAATGAGGATGTGGCTGTAAACACCACCAGGTGAGAGAATAGGAGTCGCCAAAATCAGAACATGTGGTCTTTCTCTTGCTGTCTCACATACCCTCTTGTTGTCTGTTTGTCTCCCCTACAGGGTCATGGTCCACATTGTTGCTCAGTGCCATGAAGAGGGTCTAGAACACTACTTGAGGTCTTATGTGAAGGTAAATCAAGCTCTGAAACATTCAACCATATTTATTGCAATGTACACTGTCAAACTTTTTTCAGTTTCTAAAGTAGATCTTGGTTACATGATTTTCTTCCTGTTATTCCAGTACGTGTTTAAAACAGAGTCCTATTCAACCAATTACAGTAAGACAGTGCATGAGGAACTGGCCAAAGCCATGACATCCATTTTAAAGCCTTCAACCGACTTCCTAACCAGCAACAAGCTTCTCAAGGTAGTTTTGTTTTAAAATTTCTGTTTTAAAACTTTTAAATCTCAGCAAGTTTCTTATGAGTTCTATTTGTCAATGGTTGAAATGTTTACTCCGGTGTTTCAGTATTCGTGGTATTTTTTTGAAGCCCTGGTGAAGTCAATGGCACAGTACCTGATGGAAAGTGGCAAGGTTAAGGTAAACACAATTATATGCCTTTACTTTACCAAAAATTTACCATGGTAACCATAGTTTTTGCCAAAATATGCTGGTTAAAACAGTGAAAACTTGGTATTTGCCTTCACTGTTATCAACAATGGAAATTAACCAAAATAAAAAAGATTCTGAAAGCTTCTCACTCTCTTGAAAGAGACCCTGTATTAAGGTTTTACCATAGTAAAGGTACCTGCAATAACTGTGGATTTTGGAAACTGTTTACCGTGGTTTTTGCTGTATTAGGCAGTTTACCATGTTCCAGTTATTAATTGTCTTAGCTGTGTTGTGTGTGTAGTTGTCCAGGAACCAGCGATTTACAGCTTCGTTCCACCACGCTGTGGAGACACTGGTGAACATGCTGATGCCCCACATCACCCAGAAGTATAAGGACAATCTGGATGCTGCCCGCAATGCCGACCATAGCCTGGCCGTCTTCATAAAGGTATAGCCAGTTGATTTTATACGCTGAAGCACTGACCAATATTTGATCATTTTGTCTGCAAAGAGACATCTTGTCTATGAGACATCCTGAGTTGCTGAGAGTTGTATTTGATATTGAGAGTTGTATATCATTAATGACTATTTGAATACATTTAACAACAGTGTCTTCTCACTAACTGCCCTACAGCGCTGTTTTACCTTTATGGATCGAGGATTTGTCTTCAAGCAGATAAACAACTACATCTCCTGTTTTGTACCTGGAGATCCCAAGGTACGGTAACACTTTATAATAACTTTCATTAATAAATAATTATCAAAAATTATAATGCTTAGCAGATCATTAGTTAATATTCACATAGCTCGAAATATGAGATTATGTGCTTGTTAATGTTTACTAATAAATTTATTAAACATTGCCTAATGATTAACAGATCATCAAATGCTTACAAATGTCATTAAACTTTCAATTCATACGATCATGCACTTTTAAAAAATCTTCAAATGACTTTGACAGATGGTTTACAATGATTAAAGCTTAATTACTAAATCATTAACAAACATTGTATAATGCTTAACGGGTCTTTCGATAATGTTTACAAATGTCATAAATTTAATTTCATATGATCATGCACTTTTTAAAAAATCTACAAATGATTTTACATTTACAAAGGTTGTGAAAAAATAGCTTAATTATTCATTTTAAGCACTTCACAAACCATTCATGTTAATATATTATTCATTAACTCATAATCACAGTCCGTAAAGGTCATATATTTGGTCTTTGTTTTGTATACTTCAAGTATTTACACATCTTAACAAATCAGTTATTAATTATTTGTTTATGTTTTTGCAGTACCCAATCTAAAGTGGAAACTATTTGTCGTTTGTAAATTTTTATAAAAATGTACTCATCATTAGTACTTTTACAAGCAGTCATCTCAAAAAGATGAGGGCAAAAAGTGTCCAGCTGACCTGAATTCACCCTCTTTACTCATCTTTACCAATCATTTGCTTATGTTTTTGCAGTACCCAATATAAAGTTGAGACTATTCATCATTTATAAATGGACTTTTAACTACTGTAACAACGTTTGTCGAAAAGGTGGTTAGTTAAGTTTTGATAAATGTTTGCTAAACACAAAAAGTACATGATTATATGAACTAAAAGTTTAATGAAATTTGTAATCATTTTAATTTACATGAATTAATGATCTGTTAATCATTAGATAATGTTTAATAAGTTTATTATTAGTAGTAAACATTTATAAGCACATCATCTCATGTTTCTAGCTATTTGAATGTATATTAACTAATGATCTGTTTAGCATTATATAATGCTTGTTAATGATTTATTAATGAGTTATTATATATTTATTATAAAATGTTAGCTATAATATAAGAGGTTTGGGGTCTGTACGATTTTTTAAAATGTTTTTGAAAGAAATCTCTTACACCAAGGATGGATTTTTTAAATCAAAAATATATTAAAATAGTCATATTTAAAATATTGTTACAATTTAAAATAACTGTTTTCTGTTTTAATATATTTTGGTGGCAAGCAACACAGAATTTTCAGCAGCCATCACTCCAGTCTTCTGTGTCACATGATCCTTCAGAAATCATTCAGATATGCTGATTTGGTGCTCATTATCATTATCAGTGTTGATTATCAACAGTTGCTCTGCTTAATATTTTTGTGAAAGCCATGATATATATTTTTTAGGATTCTTTGATAAATAATTTAATGTGATCCTTGTTGAATAAAAGTATTGCTTTCTTTTAAAATAATCATATTTATTCAAAACTATAATATATAATATGGGTGTCTCTTTGTGCCTTGCAGACGCTGTATGAGTTTAAGTTTGAGTTTCTGCGGGTGGTGTGTAATCATGAACACTACGTCCCCCTCAATCTGCCCATGCCTTTTGGGAAGGGCCGCATTCAGAGGTTTCAAGGTAAACATACAGCAGTATTCTATGGCACACTGTTGTTGAAATAGTCTAAGAAATTGTCTTGTGTCTCTCTTGAAAGGTTAAATTGTTCATCAGGAGAATTAGATTTAATTTAATTCTTCTTTCCTTTCTTTGTGGCTTCTGTCCTTTGAGCATTCTTTACCTGTTGCTCATATGATTGCCTTTCCACTGTTTCTTCTTTATCTGTGTGTGCTAGCTTTTCTGTGTCACATTAAGGAGACTCATGCCAGAAGAGTAGGTGAGCAGTCCTGCTTGCCAGGCACTGAACAATGTTCATGTGTTTAATCTTAATGACACAGTCCATGTCTCTCTTCAGTGTCATAACTGCCATGATGGTTTCATTCCTGATGTGGAATGGACCTACTCCAGTCTGTCTTACATGTTGATGTGCAATATAAGCTAATTCATTCATGAGTCTAGATGTTTGGTTGGGTGTTTAAAACTGTTCTATTTACCTTTGTTTTGTAATAACTGTCCATGAACTGGCTGTTGAGTCTGCCTGTGAAATCATCTTGTGTATGTGTGATTATTGTGATTTCCTGTATCAGTGAAATTGTAATTTAAAGTGCATAATTTTCAAATCATTGCTTTTGGTTTTATTATAAAAAGCTGTAGAACTGTTTTTGTTTAAGGCATTGTTAAATACAAAGCAGCAACTATTTTTCTTTCATCTGTTAAGCAGGATATTTGAGCTGAAACTTTCAAACACAGTTTTAAATTAGCTGGTGGTTACATTCAGTGTTTGTGGTATGATGTCTTTCTTTTTCTTTCTTTTCTCATAGATCTACAGTTGGACTATTCACTGACGGATGATTTCTGCAGGAATCACTTCCTAGTGGGTTTGTTATTGAGGGAGGTGTGTGGGGCTCTTCAGGAGTTTGGGGAAGTCCGTCAGATCGCCATTCAGGTTCTCAAGAGTCTGATGATCAAACACACATTTGACGATCGCTATGCCTCAAAGGTCAGTGCCCAGTTGCAACAAACCCCTCAAGTTAAGAAAAAGAACTGATTTAAAATTAAGGGTGTTTGCACTAAGGGTTTTCTTAATTTTGTAACTGCCTTAGCAACTTACAGTGGTTTAACAAATAAATATGTATTATATAACAGGAATATATAGTAGGTGGAAACATGATTAGGAGAACCCGTAACATGTGGTATGGAAGCCCTGCCTTTCAGTTAAAAGAGGCAATAAACTTTTTGATAGAGGCACTGACTGTGTTTTTTAATTTTTACTCTAGAATGTACATGCCCATTTTGTTGGACAGCCTGAGAAATGTAGCTTTAAACATGATTTGAGCTTTAAAGACAAACTTTATGTCTGATTTAACTATACATTATCAATCAAAAGTCTGGGGTCACTACATTTTTTATGTGTTTGAAAGAAATCTCTTATGCTCACCAAGGCTGAATTTATTTAATTAAAAATACAGTAAAAACATTAATATTCTGGAATATTATTGGAAACTGTTTTCTATTTTTATACATTCTAAAATGTAATTAATGAATTTTCAGCAGTCATTACTTCAGTCTTCAGTGTCACATGAACGTTCAGAAATCATTCTAATATGCTGATCTGATGCTCAAGAAACATTTATTATGATCAATGTTGAAAATGGTTGTTCTGCTTAATATTATTGTGGAAACTGTGATTTCCACAACAATAGACATTGTTTATCAGGATTCTTTGATGAATACACAAATAGAATTATTTTGTAACAATGTAATAGTCACCTTTGATTATTTAATGTGTTCCTACTGAATAAAAGTATAAATGTTTTAGAAAAAAATGAACCCAAAATTTTGAATAGTATTGACCATAATCTTATTTTGTATATTTAGTTTTTTCCCATTTCAAGTACATAGGGGGCTGTACTTGTATGCCAGTTTCCTATTTAAAAAACAGTGCCTGGAAGCACTTTCAAGATTACCACAGGGTGAATAGACGTGCCTTAAACAGACATTGATTTTAACCAGTAAATATCTGTGTATGTGTACACAGAGTCAGCAGGCCAGGTTGGCGACACTCTATCTACCCTTGTTTGGGTTACTGCAGGAGAACGTTTACAGATTAAATGTGAGAGACACGTTTAATTTTAACACCAACCAGGTGAATCATCTTGTGTTCTTTTTCTCTTTCTCATCAGTCTTTTATTCACAACTTGAGCAACCCTTATATTTCAACATGCCATCTCTCTGCTATTTCTCCTCAGAATGGGCGAGATGAACATCTTGCCAGCATCTCTACAGTAACACCCCAAAAACCTGTTGGTAACCTTGAAAACAGCCTTCATAAAGATGTATTTGGGGTCATCTCAGGAACTGGTGAGTGATGAGCAAATTAAAACCTACCAGCAACTCAGGCCTTTCACCTTCTAGCAATAGTGATGAATGAATGGTATTAGTTATATGAATGAAGTTTATTCTGTGTGTAGCCTCTCCTCACACCTCTATGCCTAACATTGGCTCTGTGCGCCACGCTGACTCTCGAGGTTCTCTGGTCAGCACAGACTCAGGAAACAGCATCCCTGAGAAGACCAGCTCTTTCGATAAGGTGAAGTAGAATAACAGTGATGGTGTCCATCAGGCCCAAAATAATCTCTTATCTGCCTCGTTTAAATAGAATGTCCTGCTTTCATAATTTGCATTGTGAAAAGCGCTTTACAAAATTAAATTTGACTTGACTTTGTCTTTTAAAAACAATGTTAAATGGAGGTATTAAATGTTCAGGGGGAGTTCCTTCCCCCTCCACATGTGCTCAGGGCGCCTTTAACTGGAGCTGTGATGTAGAGGTCTGCGCAGGACCGTTTTTTTAGTCCCACTCCTGCCTGCTCCCGGAAGGTTCTATTCCGCACCTACCTGCTCCCACTATATATTCACTCTTTGTTCACCCGCTGTCCACTTAGAATAATTTTCTTCCCGACCCGACCATTCCCGCTAAATTTAGATCTCGTTTCCAGAATCTCACATTTAAATTTCCGCTATTGAAAGAAAGAGTCTGCACAAAATTGTATGTTATTTTATTAATCTTGTCAAGAGTCTTGAATTTATTGACTTTGACTTGAATTTATATGAATTATCTTAAGACACAAAATTAGTTTAATATTTTATGCAACACGGTAGGGAAAAAAAAGTCAGAGAAAATTAAAATGTTGTACAAAAATTGCATTTCTTATTTTTATTCGTCTTGTCAGGATACAATTCATTTAACATTGACAACACAACAGGGAAAAAGTGTCGCAGAGAGAGAAAAAAAATGTAGGTTGTACAAAAATAGCCAATTAGCTATTTTTATTCGTCTTGTCAAAATACTAAATTCGTTTGACATTTTTCTGTTAACACAGTAAGAAAACTGTT